AAACCACATGAATAATTCAAGTCAAAATTACAAGAAAAAAAGTATATATATATATACCTCCTGCAGTAATGTAATTAGTATCAAAAAAAGTATATATATATATATATACCTCCTGCAGTAATTCAAAAGGAGCCTTTTCATTTCATACATTTCACCAACCCATATTTCTGTTTTGTATCCCATTTAAGACGATATAAGTGCAGTAATGATGGCTCTAGATGTGGACAATGCACCTTCCACTTGAGCCAAGCCGTGAGCTTTTGTTTAAAGAAAGTTACCATTAGGAGCTGAGCCATATTTCCATGGAAACAGACCGAGCTAAACTTGGAGAAACACTTTTTTATATATTTAAATGAACCACACAGAAAGCTTTCCTGTGCAACCTTGAAGATGGAGACAAAAGGCTGTGATGTTCAGAGGAGAGCAGTTAAGGTCTGTTGAAGAACAAATCAAATTTTTCACCACTGTGAAACCGAACATGCTTGGTGATGTATTACTACGAGTTCATCTCATCTCAGTTCTACATTTGTATCAATTTTGAATCATTGTCTTACCTGGACATCATCCTGGTCTGTTCTGTACTGGTCCTTCAAACCCACAGTCCTCCCACGGTCCTCAAGCCTTGCACCTTTCTCTCTCTTTCCTTCTGGACACCAGAAGTTGACACTGTTCACTGTGGTTCCTGACTTCACTTCCCTCCCCTCATCCAGCTCCCTTCTCAGGCAGTCGTTCTCCTTCTGCAGCTCTCGAACCTGATTTTGGAAGTCGGAATTGGACAACCTAATTTGTTCATCACAGTCCAGTGTTTGTGAATACCTTCCAGACTGTCGCCACAGACTCTCTGTCCCTGCCGCCATCGGGTGTTGGTCTATATCGGGTTCTGAAGAGTGATGGAGCCCAGAGGTGGTGATGTTTGGGCTGCTACCCATCCCTCTGCTGCGGCCCCTAGAGGAGAACTGGCTAGTGCTCCTGCCCAGGGTCATGGTTCTTTCAGGATACCCACCTGAAGGTTGCAGAGAATCCTGCTCGCTTGGATACATGGTGCCTGAAGTGGCGTAGGCTGCGCTCAAAGACTGGATGTTCTCCATGGACATGGTTTTAACACTGGGAGCCATGATAGAGCCGCGAGCCCCTCCT